CATAGCATGGCAGTCTGGCTTGGGAGGGGAGTGAAAGGGAAGGTCACCGGGCAAGGAATGACCTGGCTGGGGGGGGGGGCTGAAGGAAGCGGCTGTGGGGTGCATGCGGCAGCTCCACCCCCTCCCCCAACTGCCTCACCTCGTTGTGGCAGCAGTGGTGCAATATGCCACGTGGCCTCCTGCCACGAGCGGCCACACAGAAGTGGGCCATCAGCCATGCGGGCTCCTGCTGGATGGGGCTGTTGGTGCCGCCGCCGCGAGGCGAGGCAGGTATCATGAAAATTATAAGACACGGTCTGAAAATAAGACCTAATGCCTCTTTTGGAGGCAAAATAAGACCGGGCCTTACTTTCGGGGAAACACAGTATTGATCAAATTACAAGTGCAGTTACTGTGGCTTGATCCAACCTGGATGGTGGATGGACAAAACAAACATGCTAGTCACAATCTAGAAACCAATAAAAAACCTGGTCTCCTTCTATCAACTGTGCTCAATCCAATGCAGTTCCACAAGTGACACACAATTATGTTAGTGGTTGTCATCCAGTTGTGAGTTATCCCTTTCAGAAAAGGAAAGCAATGAAAATGATGACTTTTTTAAAAAGACTTGTCCCAAATGTTTTATCTTCTGGTTAAAAATAAGAAGTTGACTTTTTAGATCCTTGCAATGCTACATTCCCTAAAATATAGAACATGAAGAATATTTCCAAATTTTATGACTTTATCTTTTTTGTTCAACTGCTGGGCTGCATAAACATGTTGCTTATTATGCTGATTATATCTATAGCAGCATGTCGCAGAATCCAGGTGTGGAGAGTGCCTTAGAATGAATAAAAAACTTTTTCCTGTGAAGATACACCAAAAACTTATGTCTGATTAGCTTTGCTAAGTTAGTGACAATAAAGCCAAATGTGGAGTTATTAACAAAGTGATGTACTGTTTAACCAATAAGACCAGAGTTCTTTTCTCTCAACCATTAAACTGAATACATGTTTTTGTTATGTCAAAATGTTGGCCCTTACTTCCCTTCTGTATAGGTTAAGTGTCAAAAAAGAGGTTTCCATCTTATTTCTTAGATCAGAAGAAAGGACACCCTCCTTACAAACACTAAAATTTGTAAGACAGAGTCATAGTAAATAATAACAATAATAATAGTAATAGAGTTGGAAGGGACTTTGGAAGTCTTCTAGTCCAACCCCCTGGTATAGAAGCCCTATACCATTTCAGACAAATGGCTATCCAGCCTCTTCTTAAAAACTTCCAGTGTTGGAGCATTCACTGCTTCTGGAGGCAGGTTGTTCCACTGATTATTGTTCTCGATGTCAGGAAATTTCTCCTTAGTTCTAGGTTGCTTTTCTCTTTGATTAGTTTCCATCCATTGCTTCTTGTCCTGCCTTCAGGTACTTTGGAGAACAGCTTGACTCCCTCTTCTCATCTAGTAGATGAGATGTTTGTCATAAAATCCTAAATATCTGGTCCAGTCTAACTCAAAATTTTTTTTTTAAAAATCAACATACCAGTTCTTTCTGCTCAGATGCACAATATGCACACAATAGTCATGGAAAGAGCACTCAGTACGCAAGAATGAATCATAAACAGAATCACTTTGTCTCAGAGAAGAGAAATCCATTCTGTTGAACTGCTCTATGAAACAAAGATGACAGTATCTGCGGGCAATTAATAGCAGATCCTGTAATCAACAAGAATTTGGGGCCCTCAAGAGGTATCCTTCAACAGATATAAAATGGAATCCATGTGACACCAGAGCCTATTTATAACATCTGATCTAAAACCTTTAACTTTAAAATGTAAAGGCTTTTTTTTTTCTACACATGCATTACCCATGCAACCCTGTTATTATGATTTACATGCTTTCCTCTGTTAAAAACCTCATTATCACATTCCTAAACTCAACACAAAAATTGAGGTATGGTGACGTGGTGAAAATAATATTGAGAAATAGTTTTTGTTTTTATTGAAAACAACATTTAAAGGAAAATTAAGACACATCCTTACAAACCAGGTAGGGCAGAAATGATTCTAAACATGACAACTAAGAAATAAGCCTATTTCAGGAAATATGCATTATGTTTATATAAAAAATGTATAACAGAACAAACTACTTGTAACTATATGGTAAAGAAACACAAAGGAACCAAGTAGAATGTTATTTAACATTCCGAGTGGCTGTGGTTGCCGGCGCCTCGGCATAGCCAGCTGACGCCATTGCTGACTATAGGGGGCGAAATCTTGGCCCCCTCAGAGAGGGCACGCAACTTGGGAGTCCTCCTGGATTCGCGGCTGACATTGGATGACCATTTGTCGGCCGTGACCAGGGGGGCGTTTTATCAGGTTCGCCTGATTCACCAGTTCCGGCCTTTTCTGGACCGGGACGCCTTGCGCACAGTCACTCATGCTCTCGTCACCTCCCGCCTGGACTACTGTAATGCCCTCTACATGGGGCTCCCTCTGAGGAGCATCCGGAGGCTCCAAATGGTCCAGAATGCGGCCGCGCGGGCGGTGTTGGGAGGGACTCGTCGCTCCCACGTAACACCGCTGCTGCGCGAGCTGCACTGGTTGCCAGTGGCCTTCCGGGTGCGCTTTAAGGTGTTAGTTACCACCTTTAAAGCGCTCCATGGCATAGGACCTGGCTATCTCCGAGACTGCCTTCTGCCACAGATTCCCTCCCATAGACCGGTACGCTCCCACAGAGTGGGTCTCCTCAGGGTGCCGTCGGCCAAGCAATGTCGGCTGGCGACCCCCAGGGGGAGGGCCTTCTCTGTGGGTGCCCCTGCCCTCTGGAACGAACTACCCCGCGAGATCCGGACGATTCCGGATCTCCTTACTTTCCGCCGCGCCCTCAAGACATGGCTTTTCCAATAAGCGGGCCTGGCCTAGGGAGGATTTTAAATTGGGTTTATTTTTTAGAAAATTTTAAACACAACTTTAAAATATTTGGTTTTAATTGGTTTTATTTGGCGGGGATTGTGGGTATGTTTTTGTTTTAAACATGTTGTGAGCCGCCCTGAGTCCCGTCGGGAGAAGGGCGGGATATAAATCAAATAAAATGAAAATGAAATGAAATGAACTCTTTATCATACTGAAAGTAATTTAAAAGTTTCCTGTTTGGTAATGAAAGCTAGTGGGCAGACAATGACATGTGCATCATAATGTCATCAGAGAAATGACATGACTTGTGAACTGCTGTCACATATTAAAAATAAATTATATAACTGGGCCACTTCCACAACAACAGTAACATGCACATGCTACTAATGTGATATCACTGTGGCTTACATTATGATGGTATCAGAATCACTTTCATTACCGCATTTACAGTAATCAGAGGCTGATGGAGTCTGTGGTGCTCTCTGAACTGGGTTGTTTTTTTGCAGACATTTCATTACCTGACTAGGTAACATCTTCAATGCTTCAGGGAGTGCAATTTAAAATCCTCTAGCAACAGTCAAAGGATGGTACAATCAGCTGTAATTATTTTTTCCATGGCAAGAACTCTGTTTTTTTATTTCTCCTCCATGTGCTATCCATCTTAATTACATTCAACCAAACATGCATCTTTCTAAAAAATACATGAATGTATGGTTTTAATTTGCTGCTTTTAGTTTCTATTGCTTCTGTTTCAGCACTGATTTGTTAATTACTTTGAGAGTATATTACAGCAGACTTGGCTTCTTGTTAAAGTGAAAACAGCAAGTAATAAAACATTTTAGTGTGATAGCATTATTTTTGCTGGACTACACAGCAGCTGCAGTTTTCAAAATTGTTTATACCTGCAGATTTGAAATCAAATTTGAAGTAAGCAGTAAGCAATAAATGCATGGAAACTTTAGTGCTTTTTCCATCAGTCTTAATACCATACATAAGTTAATAGTTCCCAGGAATTCATATACCACTACAATCCTAATGATTTATTGGTGGATATTTAACTATTTATTTGAAAGAAAGATGGGCCTGAGTTAAAAATGAATCTCCCCAAGAAAGGCAGATTAGACTGAAAAAATAATTCTCATAAAATCTAGTACAATTTTCCTATTTTAAATTATTTTAAGAAAAAATAGCATCTCTCAAGTAAATTAAAGCCTAAGGTACATATAATTTAGCTTCTTGGGGTGAAGACTCTCAAGTTATTTCATCAAAACCATTTCTAATAACTTTTCTGGTGACTGATCTTCTCACATGTAATTAAATACGCTTAATTTTTAATAGGCCCTAAAAAGTCTATTCTTGAAAATGATAAAAAGGTGCCAGATGTCCGATTCACCAATTTTATCAGTATATGCAGAAACATAAGATACAACACAAGTTTTCTCAAACATCTCAAAGATAGTTATCTGAACAGTTATCTACTAATTGACACCGAAAGCAAATAAATTCAAGAGAATTCCAAATAAAAAATAGCATGATTAAATCTATATAAAAACATGTGAATGAAAGTTACACAAGTTATAGATTTAAGGATGGGTGATTATTCTACAACATTTTCTCTGCTTATCATGGAACCCAGAGGAAAGCTTACTGGTTATTTTGTAATCAGAAGCAAGGAGTACAAATCTAATTTCTGATCATGTTTGTGTCTTGTATTAAGTTATTATATTATTCCATATTGCCTTAAGCAATACTGTTTGCACTAAATATTTCATATCCATACAATCGGAAATTACATATCAAAGCCACAAGCAAGCTAAAATCAATATTAATTATATTGCAATTTTCCCTCCAAGTATCTTCCATTTGCAAGACCAAACATCCCAATAATTTAGAGAATTTAGTGATAATTACTTTAAAATGCATGACAGTATGCCTGGACAAATGGCCTATCTTATAACCACTGACAAATTACAGTCACCAGAGTAGCCTATAAATATAAATAATGTATATTATAATGGACTCAAACAATCCTATGTTTAGTTATGCCATATTGACAACTTTTACTGAAGAAATTTATTGATATGTTGTTTTTCAAAAAAAGAATTACTTACATGATTTCTCTTTCTGCCTTCTTGTATTGATGTAATAATAGTTTCAGAGTAGCTAGTAGATCCAGTTTTATTATCCGTTACCTAAGAGAGTAAAACAAGAACACAGCAAAGCAATGATTTTAAATAATGTTCTAGTGCTGTTTTTTTTATTTAGCTCTATGAACAGAACTATCACTTTATAATTATTATGAATCAGACACTTTGGAATTGTGTCATGAAACTGGTGGAATTTGAGTTTGGAGCAGAGAAATGGGATTTGACCTTAGTCTTTCACAGAACACCATGCAGTATCTCTAGACGAAGTATTATATATAAAAAATCTGAAGGAATTACATGTTAATGAAGTTACAAACATAACCACTATTTGCAAAAAAAAGAAGACTAATCTGTCATGAAACCGATTTTACTACAGAGAGGGATCTGTGGCAATCCAAGACCGTTTTTTTACTTTTTTTTAATGATGTTAAAAAGGGGTTAATAGATGTGCTGCTTAATGCTGGTCAACCCTTATAGGCGGTGGTCTGTTTCAACTGGAGAGGCTTTTTTAGAGCAGCCTGCAGAATCTATGAAATATCTCTAATCTATATTTCTAGAGGAAAAATGGCCAAGGTTTAGCTGTGCAACTTTCTGCTATTTTTTGAAAAAAAAAAATAAAGCAGGAATCAGTACATTAGGCCTCTGAGGAAAAACATTTCACTTTTACCCTTAGAATTTGTCAAAATGCCCCCAATATCCCCACCACTACCGTTATTAAACCTTTCTCTTATACAGCTTTTGGAGCCATGCCAGCAAGTAAGAAGTACGCAGTCAGTTTAAAAATGTTGCCCACAGTTGCTTTAAAAGAGCTTCTAGAGATCTCACCAGAAACTGGAGGGCTAAACCACAAAATTTTATTAGAGTTATGCAATAGTTTAGATTTGAAGCCAAAAAGGTGCTTCAAAGTATATAATAAAATAAGACTCCAAACTCTGCAACTTCTTAAACCAAACATATCTTTAAAAAACTACAGATGGGTGCTTTCTGAAATTTATACTACCAATGCATCTGGTGAACACTAAGTTAAAGAAAAACAGTGAAGACTATATGAAATACATATACAAATGCATAAATAAAAACATTTCACCTTATCAATTTCTTGATGTCTATGTATAGTTTTATTTCCAACTTTTGTATCTGTGTAGGATTTATTATGGTAATTGGCAGGAAGCTTCTGAAATTCAATTCCCATTATCTTTTTAGAGCCGTCTTCTTCTGCTTCCATCTAGAAAGATTATATTTAAAGTTACAAATACCATATAAACATTTACATCACTAAATATATATTTCCAGATAGACTCAGCTTTGCAAAGAACAAGTGACTGACTTCATTATCCATGCAAAGTTATTAAATTTATAGAGCAATATACATATACAGAAACCTCATTCAAAACTTTACTATTTGTGGTACTGTCTGCCATGTCTGAAACTGCAGAATATTTATTTTCCAATACAGAGAAGTTTGTTATGCAGTTTTGGTGGCAGAGGATATGGAATATCCTTTTGAAAGTGAAAGGTGATCTTTTGGAAAGGAAGAACAAGTTGGCAGCAATAACACATTTCAAACCAGAAGCAATTTTTTCTTAAGATTTTATTCCTAATTATTTTCTCTGGAGACTGCAATTCTTTCTCCAGTATTCTGAGCTTCTATGCTACATCCATGGTAATTACTAATTAAACTTCAATTTCCTGATGCTATATTACCAATTTAGTAAAATTACAGAGCTATGTTATCCTTATGAATATGAATAGATATAATCAAAAGTTGCTCTCCAGCCTTTATACCAAACATTAATGTGTATGGATTGCAAACAAAAATATTCTTTCATGTAGATATTTGAGGTAAACTCAAGAATATGAAATACATATTTACAGTATATTATTACTTCAGTAATGACCATGATAAAACTAAAAATATTGCAACTTATACTTTTCATTATAGGAGGAAAACACATTCGACGTGGAGTTAAATAAAATGTTCATTCGTGAAAGACAGTAAAGAAAAAATATATAAAAAAACAGGAACAGTCTAGAATATGTTTCTTTGACAAATGATTACAAAGACTTTTACAATTACTTGTCCTCTCTGCTATCTTATTCAATCTTTGAAAAGAAACAGTTGGCAATGCTTGTTATTTGAGCTCTAGGACAAAATAGTCCACACCTTCTCTTAAATCTTGGGTACCTGCCCTAACCCAAAGAGCAAATGAACATATCCTGTTTGCCTTTAGCAAATACATAGAAAGCCAATCAAGAAAAAAGAGCTGCTTAAAGGTAGTCAGGAATAACTACTCTTCATCAGAAAAAATCTGATGCTGCTTATTTTGAGCTATCTGAGTCAGGAACACAGGGTCACCGCGATGTAAAAAAGATGTTGAGACTCTAGAAAGAGTACAGAGAAGAGCAACAAAGATGATTAGGGGACTGGAGGCTGAAACATATAAGGAACGGCTGCTGGAATTGAGTATGTCTAGTTTAATGAAGAGAAGGACGAGGGGGGACATGATAGCAGTGTTCCAATATCTCAGGGGCTACCACAAAGAAGAGGGAGTCAAGCTATTCTCCAAAGCGCCTGAAGGCAGGACAAGAAGCAACGGATGGAAACTAATCAAGGAGAGAAGCAACCTAGAACTAAGGAGAAACTTTCTGACAGTTAGAACAATTAACCAGTGGAACAACCTGCCTCCAGAAGCGGTGAATGCTCCAACACTGGAAGTTTTTAAGAAGAGACTGGACAGCCATTTGTCCAAAATGGTGTAGGGTTTCCTGCCTGAGCAGGGGGTTGGACTAGATGACCTCCAAGGTCCCTTCCAACTTTTTTTATTATTATTATTATTATTATTATTATTATTATTATTATTATTATTATTATTATTATTATTATTATTATTATTATTATTATTATTACTATTATTGGTAACCTAAGGAGTTTACTATCCATCTATAATCTATTACCAAACACGCATCTATAAAGCTCTTCATGGCTTGCCTTCTAGCTATGTCCAAGACCATCTCCTGTAAGGAGAACTGCCCCATCCTATTTGCTCATATTTCCTTTCAAGAGATTAAAAACATGTTTTTTTCACTGTGATCTGCCAGGTATCATTTTGAAATTTTGCAAATAAATAAACAAATTACCACAATTTTTTATTCTCACTGTACTCACAACTAAAAATTTACAATTTAACCAATCACAGAGGAATAAAATTGTTGGGAAGGAAAAACAAAATTATCATAAAATGAAGGATCAAATCTGAATACAAATGGCACACTCCAGGCCAGATCCTATTGGCAACATAGATCATTCTGCCAAATACCAGTCAAACTCTGTTCGTAAGAGAACTGTCCCATCTTTCCCTAACTGCGGAGTTAATTTTCAGTTTGGGGATTATCGCACACCACATTCTTATGACAGACAATGGGCAAATCATGTTAAGGCTGTTAGGCAGTCAGTTTTCAGTTTCATTTTACAGTTGTCAAATCAAAACTAAGCACAAGGCTGAAAACTGTGAGCAAAATAAGAACCTTGACTAGTACCCACAATTCCGCTTTAATACTTGAATTATCACTTGATCTATAAGAATCAACACGTTGATTGTACACTGATACAAAACTATATGAACAGGGCCAGCATAATTAATTAGAGGTATAATTTCCAGGAGTTTAAATCAAACCAATGAAGGAGAATATTTATAGCTCAGAATTGAAATGAGGGGTCCTATGGTGCTCTCTGAGCTTGCTTGTTTTCTTGCAAAGGTTTCATTACCCTAACTAGGTAACATCAGTGCTAGTGATAAGCACTGATGATATTACCTAGTTAGGTAATGAAATCTTTGCAAGAAAACAAGCAAGCTCAGAGAGCACCAAGGACCCATTAAATCAAACCATTATGTTCTAATTTATAGTTTAGTGAGGATGTCTGTTATCAATACAGAGATCCCCTTTATTATAAGTCTATCGACATGAAAGAAAGGCTTCGTTCTTGCTGTTGCTGCTTTTCGTAAGATAGAAAGGAAGGTGGGAGAAGAAGATCAATGCAATTCTAGCTTTCTACAGCAATTAAAAATTCTCAACACGTCAATGGAAAGAAAGTACATTGATTCCAGTGACATTTGTCCAAATAGCACAATGTGCCAGTGACAGAAATCAGAAGCAGAAGCACACCAAGGCTGGCTGTATCCCAGAGAAACACAAGATTGTTTTATAAACAGGCTATGTTTAATCTCTAAAATGAAGCACTGGCACCACCCGTGCCCAGACATGTCTTCTGATAGGAAGCTGTTTTTGCTTCATCCCAGATGCCTGCCTCAGACACTGTTTCCATCTGCAAGTGAGAGGACACTCTGCTCTTAATCAACAACACTCACTGTCCACCAAATCCAAGCCTTGACTCTAGGCCCGGATACAAACTGCAGGTTCAAGCACAACATAAAGTTGGAAAACAGAATATTAGGGAGAAGAGTTAACTGTGAAAGTACAAAGTACTAGATCTCAGAACAAATGAAACCACAAGTACATTCTTTTCAGCCTGTCAGGAAAGCAAATTCGAAACAGCTGAATCACTTTCAGCTATGTAAATAAAAGCTGGGCTATACCAAGAATATCAAGAATACTGAAGACAGACTTAACAGCTTTTTTGATCAGAATAAATGAGTGTGTCAGGAGAGAGCGAGAGGAATAAATCCATGAACAAATTATTCTTAAAAAAAACCTTTGATTTTACACACCAGAATCTTGTTTTGTCTTGTCTCCATTCCCTAAAAACATGATGCTTTTCAAAATCATGAAAATATTTTCCCCCAGAGTGTGGCCAAGGAGAGGGCAGGGGAAAAGAAAATGGATAACAGATACAAATCTGCTTTGAGATTCAGGATCATCAGAACAAATACTTCTTTTCAGAAGCCCAGACATAAACAGTCAAGCTGATTGGCAGATAGATAATTCACAATGAAGAATGAACAAACAAACAAACCAGGGAAGCAACAGGGAAGAGGAGGGAAGCATAGATCATGACACTCAAAAACAGAAGAGAATGAGTTTCCTACATAAGTATCATAAACAGTGCACAAAATAATAGGGATTGACATGTCCAAGGGAGATATTCAGCAACATCCCCTCTAGCTGATTTCTAGAGAAATAAATAATAGAATAACAGAGTTGGAAGGGACCTTGGAGGTCTTCTAATCCAACCCCCTGCTCAAGCAGGAGACCGTATACCATTTCAGACAAATGGTTGTCCAATCTCTTCGTAAAAACCTCCAGTATTGGAGAAACCACAACTTCTGGAGGCAGGTTGTTCCACTGATTAATTGTTCTGTCAGGAAATTTCTCCTTAGTTCTAGGTTGGTGCTCGCCTTGATTAGTTTCCATATATTGCTCCTTGTTCTGCCTTCAGAATAGGTTGGCCCCTTCTTCTCTATGGCAACCCATTAGATATTGGAATACTGTTATCATAATATCCATGGCTATTCTATTTAGGCTACAATACTGTCTGGAACCAGTATGAATGTGCCAGGCAATCTCTATGTGATCTTCACTATCTCCCAGTCTGGTTTCAATCCCAAGGCAAGGTGCTGGTTTTAACCTATAAAGCCTTACTTTAAGGCAGAGGTCCCCAACCTTTTGGGCACCAGGGACCGGTTCCATGGAGAGAGATTTTTCCACGGACCGGAGGGGGCGTGGTTTTGTGTGCTGCCTGCATCCCGCGGATGGGGCTTTGCTTATTTGTGCAGCCCGGTTGCTGGCATGCTGTGGCCTGGTACCGGTCCACGGACCGGGGGTTGGGGACCCCTGCTTTAAGGAATACCATTCCAAGCAGGTTACGCCCTAGAACTCTCTCTTTTCAGTGTCAGGCAAAGGAACATTTAGTTTTTCAGGCTTTCGAATAACGTTTTAGTGGTGTGTGACATTTTAATTTCCTCAATTTATGTGTCACTGTTTTTTTTTACTTTTGACATCTAGAAACCATATAGATAGATCCATGAAGATCTATCCCTAATCTGTTCTTTCAAATCTCTCAATGGTGCATTCATTGCCCCTGTAATTGAGTTCAGCCACCTTGCTGCTGGTTGAGCTCATCTCTTTCCCAGTATTAGAGCCTTACTCTGCTTAGTTATTATTTTATTATTTTCACTACTTTTCTTTATATGTTTAATATAATATTTTAGTATATATTTGCAGTTATTTTTAACATATTTGAATTGTTGGAGTTTATCCAAAATCACATCAAAGGGGGGGGAGGGCTTGGTTTGTTTTTAAATGAGAAGTGGCATACAGAAGTTTCAAATAAATACGAAAACCCAGAAAACCGAGTAATGACTTCTATCATGAGAAATTATTTTGCTGCAGTTGTACCATATTTTTGAGATTCAAGAAAATGGCTTAATTATTTGGACCAATTACATAAAACATTATCACATAAGAACAATTGGTTAGCAGGTTGTTGAACTAATACAAAAATTACTAAAAAAAAAAAGTTTAATTGAATTCCATGGGAAATGTAGGCTGCTATGAATTTTGTAACACAGTAACATCTAAACCATACTGAAGCCAGACCTAGGTCTCTTCCAAGCTCTTGTTTCAGCTTATGACTCAACTATTATTTTCTTAGCAGGTAGGCTCCAATAATAAATTCCAAGGTATAGAAGAGTGGGAGGATGTGGTACCCTGCCGTTTGGACTGAATACCTTGCAAGCTGTTGCCCAAGCATCTCAGCCCAGATAGAATTTTCTTGGCTGCCTAAGAGGTTGGCATGAGCAGCTTAAGGACACAATGAGCTAAGCCCCCCTCTTTCCCCCTCTCTGCCCCATGAAGATGAATAATACAAGTCTAGCATTCAGAAGTAAAAAAAGCAAGCATTTAAAAAGACATAATTAGACAACAACTAGAAACTTAACTATTTTATAAAGTGTCTATTTAACAGGATTTACTTCTTCAAAGAGTGTTTGGTATGCAGCTTATTTTTCTGAGCTTGACTAGTGTGAAAAGGATGAGGCTCCAAATCAAATCAAATGGGATTGGAATTCATTGCTTGATATGCACATTTTGCTATGTCAGTTTAGTTTATTTAGATGTGGATTATATGAACAAACCACTGTGTTTTGTAAACCAGAATTTATGCTTCCAGTCCAGTCGATGCATAGTTAATCGTAGGTTGGCAAGAAATCATATCATTTCTTTCCAAAATGGCACATTCAGAATATTTGTGGAAAGGTTTTTTTTTTTGGGGGGGGGGGGGTGGAATATGAGATACAAGATTATTAGATAATAAATATCTCCTATATCAGAAAAGGGGGAAAAACACAAAGACATTTCCAAAATTCAACATGCATGTATATTTAATTAGTCTGTAAAGCAACAAACCTGCCAGTAATATTTAATGAAGCAGATGGACTTTCTCTCACAGTTATTGATTTAACATTAGAAGATCAGCAACAGGAAAATGTGCCAAATTAAATCTCTCCATTTTTCAACACGTAAAATGCTTGAAAACTCTGTATCAATTTTTCACATCATGAAAATAGTTAATCAGGATGGGAAACAAGCTCAAACTATACTCCACCTTAATATCACTGGCCTGAAAATATGTGTGTGTGACTTCAGGGGAAGAAAAATGAAAGACGAGCAAAAAGTGATTTTTTTTCTTTTATATAAAATAAAAGCATAGATAAGAAAACAAGATTAGGTATAAATGAAGATCAAACATTTCTCCTTTGTAAGAGATTTGCAATTAAATTTCTACATAAATATGAATAAATTCTTTTGGTGTGTATTTTAGAGTTACAGATATTCTGTATTCTGCCTCATTCTCTCCACCCTCTTTGCCTTTGACATTTATTAATTCTTTTGAAAACGATCAGATTAGAAAATGCTGTTACATTTCAGTCCTTCAAAAATGCACAGCGACTATAAAGCATGCCCTGAAGTATGAATTAACTCCTGGAGGTCTAAAACTATATAAATATTAGTGGAATAAAAATAGATGTTGATAATGGTGATACTTAAATAAAACATTCATACCCCTAATGTTTCATACTCTCTCTTGCTCATTGTCTAGGCCAGAGGTCCCCAAACCCCAATCCATGGACAGGTACTAGGCCACGGCATGCCAGAAACCGGTCTGCGCAAACAAGCAAAGCCCCATCCATGGGATGCAGGCAGCACACAAAACCATGCCCCCTCCGGTCCGCGGAAAAAACCTCTCTCCATGGAACCGGTTCTTGGTGCCCAAAAGGTTGGAGGCCTCTGGTCTAGGCAAGTCACTCAAATTAATCTATGCAACCATAGTAGGCTGAGCAGGTAGATTTTCCACCATTTTATTACATTATTCTCACTACGCAGACACGTGCCTTTTCTTCAAGTATTCAGTTAAAATGGTAATCATTTCAGGAGCACTGGTATATTATGTTTTAATTTTATTGTTGTTAATCTAAACCCCTTAAAAAGCATAGTGTGGTAAGGTTCCCCATCAGCTTTAAACATTAAATTCTTTCCCCAACTCTTGGGGCAAAGTCTTACCTCTTTGACTGCATTGGTCAGCTTATACTGAGTGTCCTCCATCAATTCCTCAACTTCCTGGAGCATTTCATTCAGGCTAGTTTCATCCTTTGGAAAGCTTAGAACTATCTCCTGGGGTTGCTCCTTTTTCTTACTATCTGAAGCAGGAGCTGAAAAAACCAGGCCAAGAAGAGCCGGCAAGAACAGCAGCCTTGTCGAGCCAAGCAGAAACATCCTCAGAGCTGCTGCAAATAAGTCTCTACAGGGAAAGACCAGAAACAAAAACCTCAATCTTTTTTTTTCCCCAGTGAGAGCATGTCTTAAAAGAACTTCCAGATCCTCATTACACATATTAGATGATCAGTATTGAAAGCCAAGAAATGACACATTCATGTTCTAAGAATACGAATCTAGCTGGATCTTCTGCTCATTACATTAAGGGTAACCTTCAAAAATGCTGCAACACTGAAAATTTCTTTTCAGAATTCCAGCTGTGACAAAGTACTCAAATATCTTTTCTCTTTCCCATCTCTCTTTTCTCACACCTGGATACATATAATATCTATTGCAGAGCTTGCCATTCAACATTAAATTCTTTCAGAGGATAATTGCCCTATAGGTTCTTGCCTCCCTTGATCCTTTGGGGATTTCTGCAAACCCTGGGGTTTTCCCAAGCCTATAACACCATCCTTTTGCATGAATAGTAGAGTTTTAAAGTTGTTGCATGAAGCAATATCTACAGGTAGTCCTTGTTTAGTAACTGGCTGATTTAATGACTGCCCAGAGTTTCAACAGTAATGAAAAAGTAACTTTATGACCAGTCCTTGCTTTGCAGGTCTGCAAGCAAAGGAAAGCTAAAAGTAAGATCATAAGCACATCTGCAATTTCACTTGGCAACTCCTTGGCTTAACAACTGAGTTGCCAGTCCCCACTGTAATTGCTAGTATACAACTTTCTGTATAAAACCCCTCTTCTAACAGCAAACCAGCTTGTTTGATTCCCCAAGCTTCTGAGTTCCATTAACTAGAAGAGGTTTCAGCCTATACTGGCACATACAAGGCCAGTCAGATTTTGAGGTGGAAATGATGAGAAGTCCCTTGTTAAGGAAAACTGCCTCATCTTTACATTATGAAGTTCCTTCTTAAGATAAAGCCTAGCCATCTTTGAGTGAATGGTGCCAATTTGGCTACATAAGAACAAATTCACTCTTTGAGGAAATGAGTAGCTACTGCAGCTTCAGGCTGCAGGGTTGAATTATCATTCTGATCCACAAATATAGAGGACAATTGTACTGTATTTAAGTATTTAAAATGTACCAAATGTTCTTTTTTAAATTATAAATGCTTAGAAGTATTCCTCTACAGTTTAGCTGCCTGCTTACATTTTGATTAGCATCTTAGTTGCTAAATGAAAAAAAAAGGGCAGAGATACTGTCCTATCCTAAAAGCTAATTTCTTATGTACTGTACATTTTCTATATATGGATATTCTCCAATTTCCATCTCCATGGAAGTAACAGTATGTAGAATTGGCTCCAAAGAACTCCAGTGATTTCTGCAATCAGGGCAATTACAAAATATTCCAGATGTATCTGTTTTTGAGGTTAGTCACATTTCTAGCTCAAGAATCATTGTCTTTCTATGGACAACTCCAACCATACAATCATTCCCCATATATGTGGCAAATTTAATTGATACTTGAATCTGAAGTATTCTGACCCACTAGTGAAGGATTTAATTTGTCCCGAGTATCAGTACCAAAGTTTTTAATCCAAAATATATGGTGAATGGATTCAAGCAATTTAGGGGAATTTCAATAGTACCTGATAAGATGGATAATTTATTTATTCATTTTTATAATTATTTATATCTTATTATATTCTCCCAAAGGAACTTACAAGCAGTATAAAGAATAATAAAATGTGCTCAATATTATTTAAAAGTAAATAGCAAACATCTATGATATTTTCCAGGGCACAGTTTTTGGGATGGAAGTCCAAATAAGCAGGCTTCTGAGATGTCTGTTCTCTTCCTCACATTCCCTTTAGAGAGTTCTCATAAAGATATCTATATATCAGTCATTTATCCTAGTATGTATGAAGAGAAAGTCAATTAGGCATATTGATTAAGGCACCAGGTGCCAGGTGTGAACAACCAGATGCACAGGTGAAGAATTCAGATAGCTGGTTTATTGCTGAAGCCTTTTCCCAGGAATCTTCTCAGACTGATAGTTGGGTAAAACTAGATAAGATTGAACTGCATTCACATAGGGATTCCAGACTATTTCCCAATTTGACTTCTCCCGCCCCCCCTCAGCCAGTCTCTCTCCAAACCTGACCTAACTTTGAGCCAGTCAATGTCTCTTAGCCCTATGAAGGAGGCAATGGAAAATCATTTCTGAAAAACATTGCCAAATAAGTTGCAGAGACTTGCCCAAGCAGTCAGCAGGAGTTCACATTAATTCAAAGCCCGCCCCCTTTGCATGAAGAACATTTTCAGGATGCATTACGAATTTACTGTGCACCACATATGCATAATTCATCCACATAGTTACATATAATACAGACCAGGGAAAGCTTCTAGGCAGTTTGGGGCCTCAATCTGTTCCTCCCCCCAGATATTAAGCCCAGGAATTCTTACTGGAGTGAATTTATTTATTCATTCACTCTTTAGATCGGTAAAGAGTTTATTCATTACTCTTTAATTACTTTATTAGCAACTCAAGGTGAGTTACTCCCACCTCCTAATTTCCCTGTAATAACAACCCTGCCAGGTGGATTGGAGTGAGAGCCACTGACTGACCAGAATCATCACCTGGCTTTCATGCTTACAATGGGACTAAAATTCTAGAGTCAGCACTTAACTAATAACTATACCACTAAAATCATTAAAAAAAAAAGTATAAGGAGAAAAGGGTCAAAGTCCAGGAAGCGGCTCTTTGCCCCGGTTTCCCTGAGGTTGCAGCGACAGACAGCCTCATTAGGGTTGCCAGGTGTCCACTATTTGAGTGGACAGTCCACTTTTTTCACATTATGTTCACTATTTTTTTTCACAAAATAGTGGACATTTTTTTTTATTCAAAAGCTTTATGATGAAATGGTACGTAATCTAAAGCTGTACAGTCTACTTTTTTTGCTACTTAACCCCCCCCCCCCCGCTTGTCCGCTATTTTTTGGAAGCAGACCTGGCAACCCTACCGTTACAACACATTTCCTAAGCGCGCAGAAAATGAACGGGCCAGCCGCTCTTGTAAAAAGGCATCTTCCATCCAAACCCCCCCCCCCCCGCCCGAAGGCTCCCGGCGCGGAACCCTCTGAGCAGCCTCAGCCCCGCCAAGAACAGATTGCCGAGAAGGATGCAAGAGCAGGCTAATCCAGATAGGCTCAGGACGAGCCTCGAAGAAGCTTCCCCCAAACCCCAGCCCTAAGCAGAGACCAAAAGCTCCTCGACCCCCGTCCCCTCCACTCCTCTCGCAGGGGACGCGTTCGCCGAGCGCACAGGGCGAGAGCTTAGACGTAGGACCGATGAGTAAATAAAGAGCATTTTTTCCATCGCCCAACCCCAGCCCGGTTTTCCACAGCCCTGCGTGCCTACCCGCCAGCCTAGAAGAAACCGGTCTTTTAGCCCTCCGACCAGCTCCTGGATCTGGAAAACGCGCGCTTAGCTCCTCCTAGGCCCGCCTCGCCGGTCTGCAGCCGGTCTGCCTGGTGCGCCTGAGCGAGGGATGCGTTGGCACCTCCGCGCCTCCTCCTCTTCGCCGACTGGCTGGGCCACCCGCCCTCGGGAGGGGACGAGG